GAGAGAACAGATCTACGGATACTAGACATGGGGGGAGAGAGGGAGGGGGTTTGGGGAGTGATAGGTTGGGTAAATGGCATAAAGAAAAATTATGACTTGTAATAATGAGTATGCTAATAATAAAATTAAAGATTTTTAAAAAGTGAATGGGATGGGTAATATGAGAGGTGAATGTGGATCCTGTTTACTCAAGGCCCACATATACTTTCCATGAGGACTGAGAACCACAAGCCACTGAAGAAATTTAGATGTCCAGAAAATAATATTCCTCGCCTTTTCTGTGTAGAGACAGCTTCCTCTCAGATGGCTCAGGGCTGTCTTTGGCTGTTTCCTTATTTGTGCCTGATCGTGATTGACACTGCTGGTCTTTAAGCAAACCCCAAGCAAAGCCTCCTGTGTGTGCTCCTCAGAGCCTGGATATAATTGGCCCTGGATGCACTTAGGGAGGTGAAGCGATTTGGAAGGAAGGGAGAGTTATACAGTGAGAGTTGCTCCTGTGATGGTGTAAAACACTGAGTCCAGTCGCCAAAATATTGGGCTCTGTTCTATTGAGCCTGTAAAGTTTACCTTATAAAAAAGCAGGGCCTTAGAAATAAATTAAGGCTTTGAAATTGTGGAATTGTTCTGGATTTTCTGTGGGCCCTAAATGCCATCACAAGTGTCCTTAGAAGAAAAAGACTTGAGACTTAACACACAGCAGCAGAGGAGATGGCAGTGTGAACACAGAGTTCAGAGAGCTGTGGTCACAGTCAAGGAAAGCTGCAGCCACCAGGAGCTGGAAGAGGCAAGAAACAGAATCTCCCGTAATATCTCGGACCCTACACAATATCACCCTGATCTTTTCCCAGTGAAACTGATTCTAAAACTGGCATCCAGAACAGTGAAAGAATACATTTGTATTGTTTAAAGCCACCCAATTCATGTTATAACAGCCCTAAAATACTAGCACATGAAACCCTATAGAGAGGCATCTGTTAGCTGTAGAATAAATATTGATGACTTTGAGTTGAAAATGACAGCTGGCTGGTAACACCTTATATGGCATCTTCATTCTCAGATATTCACAGGAGCATGAAAAGACTGCTGGTGCTTTTCTCTAAACACACACACACGTGTGTGTACATATATATATATATATATATATATATATATACACTCCATAGTGCATCATTTAGTTAAAGCCTCAGGACTCCCCACGAT